TTCCTGACTTTCTGCTCTTTCTGTCTGTCTCACAAATTAAAGGACAGGCATGTCGGTGATCTATTTTCCATGACTAACACAATTTTTCCCCACGTATGCTTTTCCTCCGCTTCATTCATAGCATGATAAAATTAAGGGAAAAGGTCACCTTTTAAAATGGCTACAAGAGGCGCAGAGGTCTGTACAGCTAAAATCTGAACCGTTCCCAGCACCCCAAATATCTCTCCTATATTATAAAAGGGTTTAATTTTTCCCCACGTATGCTTTTCCTCCGCTTCATTCATAGCATGATAAAATTAAGGGAAAAGGTCACCTTTTAAAATGGCTACAAGAGGCGCAGAGGTCTGTACAGCTAAAATCTGAACCGTTCCCAGCACCCCAAATATCTCTCCTATCCCCCCCCCAAACCCCCCCCCCCCCCCCCCGCAAGGCAGTTGGAATTTTCAGTTGGGAGAGGAGAATGATGTCAGAGGCTGTGGGGGGGGTGGTTGTAAAACTTAAGACAGACAGGCAGATAGGGTTGCCAACTCCAGGTTGGAAACTTCCAGGATATTTTAGGGATGAAGCCTGCTGAGGGTGGAATCTGAGGAGGAGGAGGAAGAGGGGGACCTCAGACAGATACAATGCCATACTGCCCACACTCCAGACAAGCTGTTGCCAGTCTCCAGGTGACAGCTGGAGAGATCTTAAAGCTTTGGTGCTACTTCAAAGTTCCCCAGGAGCCCAAAACAGAGTAGTGTTTTGGAAAATCTTGAGGAATTGTTTGGTGCATTTACGATGGGGCTCCTGGGGAACTATTGTTGCCAATCTTGGCCCAGCAGCCATCAAACCATTCTCTCTAACCCCCTGCTGTGCAGCTGACTTCCCCCTAGGGTTGCCAATCTCCAGGTGGGACCTGGAGATCTCCCACTGTTACAATTGATCTCCAGATGACAGAGATCAGTTCCCCTGGAGAAAATGGATGCTTTGGAGGGTAGACCCTATGACATTATACCTGCTGAGTCCTTCCGCCCCCCGACTTCTGGTGCCCCTGTAGGGTTTTCAAGGCAAGAGACATTCAGAGGTGGTTTGCCATCGCCTGCCTCCGTGTCACACAGCCTTGGCATTCCTTGTAGGTCTCCCATCCAAATACTAGCCAGGGCCAGCCCTGCTTAACTTCCAAGATCTGACCAGCTTGGGCTATTCTAGGCTACCCAGGTCAGGGCTCGGTGGACTTAGAAGGGTGCAATTCTGCTTAGGACCACACTGTATATGTATCTGATCCTGCATGCTCAGCTTTTGCCCAGGTAATAAACTTTTTCTTACTGTCCATGAAGTTTATAATGGGCCAGCTGGAGCGCAAGCTGAACAAATGTATCAGGATGAAGCTTCTGCTTCTTGATTAGTGATTTGCCAAAGGATGTGAAGGCATAATTCACGAGTTGTATGTCAGAGACCTGAGAAAAAGAAAAATGGTATTACCTCAGGGAAAATGGAGAAAGACTATGGCAACCTCAGCACAAAGCAGTACATCCAAGGTGCTAGTCTTCCTTTTTGGTTTATGTAAAATAATTGGATTTGACAAGGGTGAATCAAAGAACTCAATCACAGATCTTATTCTCTGGATTTGATAAAGGCAGTCAACAGCTTATTCACCCACGCTTTCAGAGAGTTTTCAGACTGCTTTAGAAATAATATAGCACTGCTTGCCAAAAATGTTGTGCTCTCTTGTCTGGAAAAAGCATTTCAGTGTCTCTTTAAAGGAATTTAGTGTCCTTTCCCTAGATAAAGTACCCCCTCTTTCAGCGCTGACGCAAGTATGGGGAAGATACCTGTTCGCTTTCTTTCGCTGGAACTGGGCACCGACAGTTCCTGACTTTCTGCTCTTTCTGTCTGTCTCACAAATCAAAGGACAGGCATGTCGGTGATCTATTTTCCATGACTAACACAATTTCCCCCCACGTCTGCTTTTCCTCCGCTTCATTTATAGCATGATAAAATTAAGGGGAAAGGTCACTTATTAAAATGGCTACAAGAGGCACAGAGGTCTGTACAGCTAAAATCTGTACACCCCAAATATTATCTGTAAGAAGAGAACAGGCAATACAGACATGCTGAATGTGAAGGAGCCGTCAATGTTTATGGGAAAGACACACAAAGAGCTTACCTGCTTGTAATACTGCTCCTTAGCGCAAGCAATGTCATTTAGCATTTTCTGGTCCAAGTTGAAAACAAGTTCCTCGGGCCAAGGAATATCGCGCACTTTGTCTGATCCCTGTTTTTCATTTTTTTTAAAAAAACAAGAGGGGGGAAAACACCTGTACTTATTTCCACAGAACAGGGAGCATTAACTGAAAGAGAACTAGAGTGTAATTTTTACATACCTTCCACCTTCCCTCTGATTCAACAACCTTTTGATCAATGTACGAACAGAGCGCTACCACAGCCATGGCATCGAAAGGAGCATGCTGGAACATAGCAATAAAAAATAATTGGGTTAGAGTACTATCTTTTTTTGGGAAGATGCCACATTGCCAGTTTCTTTAATTATACTGTCTCTCCCTACCTTCCTAACCAGTGAGAGTTCTCAAATTCCAGCTTGCTATTAAATTAAAGAACATCCCTTATAAACTGTGACATAGGCACAATGCATAAAACTATGTTCACTTATGTAATGATCTGAATTTTAAAAATGAAATTGCTATTCATCATCTCGCCACAAGTTTTGAAAACGTCTAGGCAAATATTTTTAAGAAATAGAAAGAAGCTTGCTGGCATCACAAAAGATCAATAACAAAAACACTCACATCACAGTGAGAGCCGAATACCCCGTTTGAGAACGTGATGCAGTTATAGGATTTGTCTCCCCAGCGTGTCGTTGGATCTCCTGCTAGTGCCAACTTGGTGACCTAAGCCAAGAGGTGACATTATAAATTCTGAAAGAAGAATCCACCACATAACAGGGGGAAAGTTCAGAAAAACCTTAGCAGAAAAATCAAAGTATATAGTTTTATTGATTGATTGATTGATTTGATTTATTCCCCGCCAGGGCAGGCTCAGGGCAGTTTACATATACGCAACAGCTAAAAACTGCAATATAATAAAAGCATTCAATCTTAAAAACAACAACATAAGGTGCTAATAAACAATTTCAGTAATGATGGTGAAGGCAGAGTAGCATTAACATATTAGTAAATGCAGTCGGTATTAGATTTTACAAGGGGCGGACCCGCGATACTCGCGGGGGGGAGGGACCTCCACACATGAGGCAGAGGAGGAAGCAGGAGGAGGAGGTAAGTTCTCCCCCATCCCACCAGTTCCTCCCCGTCTCCTCCCCCGCTCGATCTCCCCCCCTTCCCTTGCCCCCCCGGCTCCGAAGCGAGGCCCAAGTGGCTTGCACCTCGGGCCTCGCTGCTCTTACCCCCCTGCCTCCGAAGCGGCGAGGCAGATCACAGAGCGTTCCCTGCGCATGCGCAGGGGACGCTCTGATACTTTTGGGGGGATTTAAGTATCCCCCAATAAATTTTTTCCAAGTTTTCAGATTTTTCTGCACACCTGGGGACTGTCCCAAGTGTGCAGGAAAATCTCCCTCCCCCCCAGGTGCCCCCTATGTGCGGAAATAAGTATCCACACACCAGGGGGCGACTTCGGAATTAGATATATAGATTGTCGGTGGAACTCAGACTGTTGGTGATGGTATTGGGCTCATGCCTGGTGGAAGAGCTCCGTCTTGCAGGCCCTGCAGAACTGTAAAAGATCCCACAGGGCCCTAAGGTCTTCCAGGACCTCATTCCACCAGTGCGGAGCCACTACTGAAAAGGCCCTGGCCCTAGTTGATACCAGCCTGACATCTTTAGGGCCCAGAAGGACCAGACGGTTTTGGGATCCTGACCGCATTGCTCTCTGGGGAACATGTGGGGAAAGGCGGTCCCTCAGGTAGGTAGGCCCCTGAACATATAGGGCTTTAAAGGTGAGTACCAGCACTTTGAAGCAAATCCGGTATGCTATAGGCAGCAAGTGCAGTGCTTTTAGCGCAGGCTGAATTTGCTCCCGCATAGGGAAACCCAGGAACAGCCTGGCAGCTGCACTAGCTGAAGCCGCCGGATTTCAGTCAAAGGCAGCCCCATGTAGAGAGCGCTACAGTAGTCTAACCTCGAGGTGACTATTGCATGGATCACTGTCGCCAAGTCGTTGCGTTTGAGGCCCATTCAGCTGGGTCCAAGGATGGTTTTTTTAAAGAGAGGACGTACCACTGCTTCCTTGAGTGTCCTGGGGAACAGTCCATCAGAGAGGGACTTGTTGATAATATCCCTCAGGGCACCTCATAGCCCATCACAGCTAGCTTTAATTAGCCACAATGGGCACGGGTCAAGGTTGCAAGTGGTTGGGCAAACAGTTGAGAATAATTTGCCGACTTCCTCTAGGCTGAGTGGATTGAAATAATCCAAAACTTGACAAGAAGATGTGCATGGAGCCTTGAGTTCACTTACTGAATGAATGAATGAATTTTATTGTTACAGCGCATAGCCAGCAAGTTCACTTACTGCCTCAACTGTGACAGGGAGGTCATGGCAGAGTGACAAGACTTTATCTGTGAAACAGCTTGCAAAAGCCCTCGCAGCCAATATCCAATTCCTGTGGCAGAGTACTTGTTCTAAACAACTGGGCCGGGCGTGAGCTTGCAGATGCAATCGTAGCCACATAATAATCTCTCTTAGTGGCTTTGACTGCAATTTCATAGGATCTCATAAACATCTTATAGGATGCTCTTGAAGCTTTGTCACAGGTGCGCCACCACCGTCTCTCTAGCCATCTAACCCTTCATTTCATCAGCCGCAGCTCCTGGGAAAACCAAGGAGCCAGCCTAGAGTGAGGGCACAGAGGGTGTTGGGGAGCGATCTCATCGATGGCTGCGGAGAGTCAGCCATGCCAATCCACTAGCTCATCCAACAAGTCGCCAGGGGCATCGGATCCCGCAGAGCCATCTGACGCTGCATTGGGTCCATTAGGTTCCGTGGGCGAGCGAAAATACGCTCGTTGCCCAAACAGGGTCGGGGTGAAAAGTTCATGTGGACCTTCAAGGCATGGTGGTCCAACCATGGCACTGCCATAGCAGTGATCCGGTCCACTGTAAGCCCCGCTGTGAAGATCAGACCAAGCGTGTGCCCAGCTCAGTGCGTGGGGGCCGTTAGATACTGGGAGAGCCCTAGTGCCGCCATGGATGACATCAGGTCCATCGCCTGTGTGGAGGCTGCATCGTCAGCATGGACACACAGAACACACTTCATTGACTTTGATGTACATTTTACATGGGACTTTATCTTTATCTGTGCAATAGCTGTACACACAAACAACACTTTTCACCTGGATACCATATATTTCCTTCCTTCTCACCTGCTATCTGTTGAGCACTGTTGTTTGTAGCAGTAGAAAAGAGTTAAGAGTTCAGTAGCACATTAAAGCCTAATAACATTTGTGGTAGGGTATGAGCTTTCATGAGTCACTACTCACTTCTTTGTTTGCATTACCTGGACTGCACTGGGAAGAGGAGGATGTTGTAATGAGTTGGCTAGATAGCTTTTGATCTTTACCACACTTATACAATGCACACTGATAGGTGATGTGAAAGCAATGAAATAGCTTTATACCACCTGTACAGCTGCCTGAAGTTCCATGTGTAAATAAAATCAACCAAATGCAAATACTTCCTTAACCTAAAATAGGTGCAAAGAATACCACAGAATTTGATATCTCACTGGGCAGAGAAAGGTAACCGCTGTTCTATAGCTACCTCTGTATAATCTTCAGGTGTAGCCTGAGGACTTGCTTCATCCAGACAGATGGCAAACACGCTAGTCTGTATTTTTTCCAAAAGGGACAGGTTTCTTGGATCCAGGTTAATAAGATAGTCACGTATCTAGAAGACAAGTCAAAGGTTGATTAAACAATAAAACTCATGCACCTTCATCCCCCGACACCCCCTGGAAAAGCAATGAAGTCTGCTAACCTGTGCCCACCGGGTTCTCTCCTCAGAGGTTAAGACAGCTAATCCTGGCCCCTCTGGTTCATTGTAGCACCTCTTTTGGACGTAAGTAAGTTGCCTTGAAGAAGGATTAAGAAACAAGAAATAAGTTGAAAGTAGCTAGGAGTTCCCACTATCACCTACCAACCACCAGGAACAGAGGTGCCAATCCTGTCAGGAATACATGATAGCCTGATGGTTTGACTACAGGACAGCTGTTGCCATTTTGTTGGCTCCCCACCCCGCCCCTGCAATTGAGACCAGCAGTTCTCTGCCAGCCAGACAAGACCTAGACAAAGTACAAAAGCCAGCAGAGAGGCAGGCAGGCCGGGTGTACATCTACCTTGATCTCATCATGCTCACTGGAAACAAAGACAGCCACAGAGAGAAATGAGCCTCTCCCTTTGCCTAGTCCCAGACCTTTCATCAGGACCTGACAGTAATTAATCAAGTCCTAGGATTCACATCAGCATTCTTGAGGTTCTCCATTCACACTGACTCAGTTTGGGCCAGCAGGATTGTCCTCTGAAAACCTCAGCTTGATGAGGTAACTAAAAGTGCCTTATTTCCACCCCAAAACGTCCTCTCCTTTCCTTATTTCACAATGTTCCCAGGATGCAGGTACTCTGGATCCTCCTTCCCTTTCTCCTAGCTCAGGAAAAAAGCAACAGTTTGTTCTTGTTCAAGCCATAGCCCTATACCTGAAGTCAGAATCAACCCCAGCATGTACATTTATGCTAGTTTCACCTTGAGTACAGCTAACAAAATGTTCCTGTTTTGTGGCAAGTTACATGCTTCTGCCTGTCCACTGTTCTTCCTCCTTGGCTCTGCCTTCTGGATGCATGGCTGTCCAGACATTTGAGAAACTCTGTCTGGAATGTACAAAGATATTTCACCTTCCCGTTCCACCTCTTTTGGCCTCTTGCTTTCTCCTTCTTAAGTAATACACACTGCAGTGTGTTTGTGTGCACACATGTATGTTTGGGATATATGACTCTTAATGTGGGCACTGTAGTATTTAGTACTGTTGCTTCATGCTAGATATTGTCATGATTGCCTGAGCATGCTAATTATTCCCCTTAATAAAACTCTCTCTGATTTCACCATATTGAAAGTAATTCTTCCACATTTGTCCACATCGACTCCCGCTTGTCTTGGTCTTGTAATCCTGTAAACCAGCTGCAGAACCTAAGTCAACTATTCATCAGAGTGGAAGGAAAGTCTTCTTCCTTACATTCAGACTATGCTGGTTTGAACTCACTATACTGGAAAGTCAGCCCATTCACAAAGACATGTGGCAAACCACATGTGTTCTGACCACATGCAGAAGGACTTAATATCTTGTACAACGACAATAATCATATTTTTATCCCACCCTTCATCCAAGCACTGCTGCTGTACAGACTTCATTCGCTTCAGTGGGTTTGAACTCCACCATCTGTCTTGCAAAGGTTCCTTCAATGGACACAAAGACCTTCTGAGGGTGCAGAATCCTATCCAGGCCTATTCATTGGGGCTAACTTCCATGAAAGTGTTCTTAGGATTGCACTCTAAAGGATGCATTCGGAATATCAAGGAGCTAACAAGTTGGGTAGCTCCTGCTGTAATCTACATATAAACAAACTAATATGTGTAACTTGGTTACAGATTTTAACAGCATTTATCATTAATATACCTGGAAATCTCTGGTGGGCTCAACATATGACCACCATGCACAGCATCAAATGTAAAAATCCGACCTTGACATAGCACTAGCAGATGAGATGGGCATTCTCCTTCACTCTCTGCAAGAACAAGAGAAAGCATAGGAACATGACCCCTTTGTACAGCTGGCTATGTAGTCATTATGGAATGCCAACCAAGACACCCTTCAGCCATTAAACAATACAAGGGCTACAGGAAAATGCCCCTCATGGCTCCACTCAAGACATAACACTACCCTTGCTTGGAAGCGTGACTGGATGTTGATGGGAGTGGGTACTGTGCCTTCACTGCACTCTTCTTCACTGCACTCTCCTGGGAAGATTCAGGCCAGCAGTTTGGCTGGTGTTTCTGCATGGTCAAACAGCAACTGTGACCAGGGGTGCCTTTAACAAACTCCAACTGGACTGCCATCTGCACCCCTTCTTAGTGAGGTGGAATATGTCTACAGTTACTTATGCCACTATGGCATCCATACTAGAGTACACTTTACATGGGGCTGCCTTTAAAGAGTGCTAAAAATGTGGCTACGAGACCATTGGTACAGGGGAGCAATTGTAAATACCATTTTATTTCATCTATCCTGGGTGTCAGTTTCAGAGCCCAACTCAAAAGTACTGACTATAAGGTTTAAATGGTACATGGCGACTACAATACCTCAAGAACTGCTTCCTTTCATATACACTTGCCCAGGCATTGCAGGTCCCTGTGTGCCCACAACCTGAAGTATTGTGGGTGGCTGAGTGAGAGAGAGCTTTCTTCATAGCAGACTTTTGGCTTTAGAGCTCTCTCCCAGGTCATCTCATTACTGACCTTCTGCCACAGGTTAAAGATGGCTCTCTTCAGGGAAAGCTTCACGAGCTGCTGAATTGTAAATTATTATTTATTATTATTTATATGGACTACCCTAATTGGCTCCCGAGAGGACTGTCAGGGAATATGGACTGGCCTTGAGCTTTCTGTATCCCTGCAGGTAAGTTTTAATTCTGTCAAAGGTGTTTCCCAGAGTGTGGAACAACAGGTTTAGAGAAGAAGCATATGGTTCATGACTCTTTAAGAATTTTAGAAGGAGGAGGTGTTCTCATAAGGCACAGCAACCACGTGCACATGGATACCAATATATAAAGCAGCAGCAACAGACCAAGTTTCCAAAGAAAAGGAAAATGCCCAGATGTGCAGGCAAATACGACTATCCTGCCAAGAGCTTCCTGTGCCTATAAACAAAATTTGTAAACATTACATGCAAAAGGGGATCAACTACTATAGTTCTGAATGCGCAGAGGCACAGAGGCAACATGGCATTCGTATACATGGAGGTCATCAGCACACTAATGCTTTCATAAGGATCTGCAGGATTTCTTTAACACTCCACAAATATTGACCATTAATGTCGAGACTGCAGGCCTATCAGTGCTGTGTATGCATATTATGCCTTGTGAACTTTGGTTATATGCATACACAGTGAAAGATTTAGAATATGAAAGCTAAGGCTATATTACTTGAGCAAAGGTGAACTAGCTGACACATAGATACAATAGACCACAACATCACAGGTCTCTTCACCTTTATGGTTAAAACATTATGTTCTTATATTCCAAACAGACGTATGACTCTTAAAAGGTGGTGCTCCACAGGAGTACATCTGTAAGAACTGTGAGTTCATGGAACAAGTTCCTGGCAAACGTTGGCTGAGCACTTCAGACTAAAAGTACATGTCATAGCAACCATCCCCGTCTTTAAACACGGATCTGACTCAGTCATGTCATGGGATGCAGAGCCTTTCCTTGCTAGTTGTCCCTTCCCTCCCACCTTCATGCACTTTTCTTATAGCTGCCTGACTGCTGGTATCAGAAGCCAACTAGAAGACAGGTACCTGATGAAACAGAATGCAAGGACAAGAGTAGCAAGCTGGGGGAGGATCCAGCAGCCCTGCCCAAGAGCCCCTTTGAGCCTTTAAAGGGCAAAGGCAACTGTAATTCTGCTTCAAATAGGATTAAAGCAAACCTGCATTCAAAGACCTGCGTTTGCCACTGTAAAAGTGTCAAATTTTTTTTGCTTTAATCTGGGCAGTGCTAAAGGTGACATCTGCAGGGTAGCAGTTTAGCACAAATAAGTTTATTTCAGCCATGAGATAAGTAGCTGCCAGGGTGTCTTCTATTTATTGCAATCTTAAATTGCTTTTCATTTTAAGATACCCAAAATATATAACAGTAACAACAACAATAAACAAATATCAAAAAGACTTCAGCCTGAATAGTAATAAACTGGACAAAAGTCCAGTTTCTATCCATATATAAAATCTTTCTTAACTATTTTTTTTTAAAATAAAGTGCATTTCTGTGATAATGTTCTGGGAGAGGGTATTCTGTTCTCTTTAAGGCTTATTTTGGCTTTAAAGTTTTAAACTGATCAAAGTTAGAAATTCAGCTCCTGGCAGGATTTTTCTCTCAGTAGCTGCCTCAGTACAATAGATCAATCTATTTACCCCTCTGGATTCCCACACTGCAAACCAACCTTACAGAAATGCTATCAATTAGATCAAAAGAAAAAGTCTAACTACTATTTATTCTGCTATCAGAGAAACAATATTTTTTTAAAAGTTCTCTGTTGATCTAGAAAAGTTCTCCTTGTTTACCTGTCCTGAAATAATTGACAATGCAGTCTTGAGTAATTCCTGGAATCTTGCATGTGCAAAACAACATTCGGAACTGATTCATGTCCAGAGGCACATTACCAGATCTATGTACACGGAATTTTTCCCTGCAGCAAACAAAAATATAGGAGCCACTAAGTGTTCATTGAAAGCCATATTTTGTATCAGGAAACATTCCCCCCCCCCAAAAAAAGAGGAAACTGGAGAGTGTTTCTGGAGATTTATTGTTTGACACCATTACTTGTGACATGAACTATTAGCCGGAGTCACCTAAAGCTATCTTTCTTCAGAAAATGATGCTGAGGTCTCCTTTGCCTGGGGCTGCATCTACATGAGGACACAAAATGTGCCCCTCTGCCATGACAGCAGCAGCAGCCAACAGTGCAGGAACAGGCATCAACAGCCCCTGTTCCCAAGCTGCTCGTTGCTCCCCCACTCCTCCCCCTTTTCCTGTTGTTCCCCTGCAGCCCAGAACCCACCCTTCCCCTACTGAGCCCTACTGTAATGTTACAACGTGTCTCAGCAGGGAATGGCCAAAAGACCCTCACAGGGCTGAAAAGGGGGAGAATGTGAAACTCACCTCAATCCCTACCCCATGGTTGCTACAGGGGGGCATCCAGATGGACATGCCATCTACAGCCACCACACAGTTTCTTGTGTTCTTCAGAAAAGGTGAGATTTACATTTCCCCCAAAGTAAAGGCAAAAATATAGGAGCCAGACAAGTTTTAGAGTATAATTTTAAATGTCTTACGTTCTCAATAGTTCCCAGAATTTCAAAGTATGCCATGTACTCATGCTTGCTCTTTCAATCTGAGTACCTTCCTTCACTGGCCAGTAGTGTTCAAGGTAAGGGCCTGGACCTCCAAAATTATGAAAAATCTGTGTTGGTACACGGGCCTCAAGATAGGCCACCTTCAGCCACCATTCCTCCAGCTGGGGGGGGGAAAAAAACCCCAGACATTAGCATTAGAAGATTTTAGCACAACTCTTTTATTTACATCTGTCCATAACCTCAGAAGAAACAGCAGAACTCAACAAGCAGTGCGCTTCAGGCCACACGCGAAAGCACAATTGAGGCTAAAGGGATTTTTCAAAGCAATTACAAGATGGAGGTCTGCCATTTTAAGGGAGGGAGGAGCCAAGAACCTTTCTGGGCATGCTAGAGAAAATAACTGGATCGCAGCCCATAACAAGCCCTACATTCTCCTATTATGCTTCACTTTAGTTACTTTTCATATAAGAGGTTCACCGTCTCCTCCAAACACTGTACTAAGCACACAGTTCTGGGACTACCAGGTGGCAACACATTCGGGTCTGGCTGTACCCCTTTGTTAATGTTTACAGATGTTAAGCATTAACATAAATAATGACAACAAACTTCTCTTTCTAATCCTTGGATGTATGGGGAAAACATCAGGGCGACAGAGATTAATAGTTGTCATAGAAAACGCATCAGTCAACAAAAGAAAAGGCAGTAGAATGATTTGTGGGTACAGGTATGCATGGTATGACAAGTATGTGCCCTCTTCCCCATCAATCATATTCATATCTCTCCAGGACATATACTTGGCATTGCACCTCAGAGGGACTGCATCTAATTGGGTAGGAGCTGAGACCACTCTGCTGTTCCAGGAATCCTTTCCTACCTGCTGCCTGAAGACTCAGTGATCAATAAAGGCAATCTGCCCATGTTCTGAGGTACTCCCTTTTAGCCACACCTTTTTCTTGGAATGCTTGCATGTGCAGCTTCCTGATGAGGCAAATAAGCTCTGCTCCCGCAGCTGTTTCATCTCCCAAAAACAGCACAGGAAGGAGGCCAGAAGATTATACCTTGCTTGTGATGACAAAATGCTGTGGAAACAGCCCTGCCTGAAACTCTCTCTACCTTCTGAAATTCCATTCTAGGCATTACATAATTGAAAAAGGAAATGACACGAGTAAAGGACAAAGCCTTGGGTCTACTGCTTGATGGTTACTGACATTTAATCCTTGCATTATTATGTTCTCGCCTAGCATTAAAGTTTGGAAAACTGCTTTATCAGCACACATTCAAAGACAGGAAATACTCCATGTTTCCCTGGAAACGTACCCAATTTCGCTTTACTTTAGCTCTTTCAAGTAATTTTTGCTGCAGCTCCTTTCCAATCCCATTTTCAAAAGCTTTTACTATGCTCTCGGTTTGCTGATATTCTTCTTCGTTTAGGAAAGGCTTTACTGCAAAACAGGGGAGAAATGTTTCTTAAAGGATCTGAACACATTTTCTTCAAGTTGCATTTATGCTCCAACAATGTTTTAAAAAAAAATTAAACTGCAACAAGTCCCTTCAGAGAACTACTTCTTAGAAGACTACCTGAAAACATTTGAACAGGTACAGTGCAGATTCAGTTCAGGTACAATGCAAAACAACAGTTTACTTTTAACTTTGGTTGCACTGTGAACCCAGGATTTGGCTTGCAAATAATCACTCAAATCCTGCTTTGCTTCAACAAATACCGGTTTCATCACTTTCACTCTAGACAAGCGTTTCAGTACCCAGAAAATATCAAGGGCAGCATCAAGGAATAAGGTAGGATGTCCAGATTCATACACCATCTGAAACCTAGCTAAGATTAACTGTAGTTAATAAACCAACTTCAAATGATGGTTTCAGATCCTAATATAATGGACCCTAACTAGGAACAGTTAGTACAATCATCCATGTTTAGACAATCACACTAACCATATTTAATTGAATAATTAAACTTTTGCTTTGTTACATATGAACAAAGCGTATCTAACTTTCTCATCTGAAAAAAGAAAAGAAAACAGAAAAGAAAAGTAAGAAAATAATTTTTTAACAGCTGTCAGATCCAACTAAAACCAAGGTGTTTATTTTCACTGCCCAGTAAATACCTTGGGGTCATGTCCTCCCATGGTTTTTTGGCAATAATTTATATACTTTGTCAAGCCTGTGTATTATCTTAAGAATTTTAATTAACTCTACTCTTCTCCACCAGGACTTTTCTATATTGCAACATTTATAAATTACTCCAATTAGTATTCTCCTAACACCAGCAAGCTGAACAGCTTATTCCCTGACATAGTTTTAGACAATCTCATCTGAAGGGGGGGGGGGAATGAGCTTGATTGAGCCAATGAACGCTCAGTGATTTTAATTTCCATCCACTATTGCTTAAAAAAATGTTGCCAATCCTACACTCAGTTTTGCTGGCAGTAAAGCGGCTTTTATTTTTCACAGAATTTCTTTCAAGTGTTATGTGTAGAGGGTTACAGCCTTAGGCCACACTCTGCAAACAGTTTATACAGGAGCATAGGCTTGGGGTAACCTGTGAATTATCCTATCATAGCTCTTCAGGGCATCCCTAGAGAAATCTCAGCAGTGGATTGTTAGGGTTCCATGCTGAACTGAAAGGAATGTAACCTAACACTAAGTTGAGCAATACATATTAAATTATTATTTAGAAGCATTTTGATTCAGAATGGCTAAAAATAGCAATAGTTCTCAGTAATGAAACTTAATAGCTGGAGACTGAGGATTGAGCTGTAAACTCTCAGCACTAGTGCCAAAGAGTCCCTTTCACTTAACAGCAATGTTGGGAACTGGCTCTGTTCCTTGAGCTTCAGGGAATGAGAGAAGCCCTTATACTGCACAATACCTTTTCTTAGCGAGCACAGAGGGAGCTTTTCCTAGTGCCATCCGAACCCACACACATATTTATTGGCTACTGCACAGTCATATGCTATTGCACATCACTTCATGCACACGCACACAGCCACAGTGTGTTTTGCAGTTAAGCCGTTAACCTTGTACATATGTCAATACATTGCCAGCAGTTGTACTTCAGTACCAAAATAACATCTGTTAAACGGTTCAAATGCAGATTATTAAGCAACTGAAAATTCTGGCTGCTCTAATGGAGAGAAAAAATGGCTCAGTATTGCTCCTGCTTTACAAACATCTGAAATGCAAGCGCTGTGTTGCAAGTATGCTTTCATTAACCACTGCAGAAGCAGAGATATGCTTTGTCATCCTGTTACATGCCTTGATGTTTCCAAAGCAAGGTCAGGTGGAGAACTATGGTTGCCAACTGTCTGAAAGAAGGAAAAATCCTTTCCTGTGAACAAGGGCTTAATGGGATGTTGCCTACCTCCCGCCCATGAAAGTTTCAGCTGCCCATTCTCACATATTAAGTCCAGAGAAAATTTTCCTACAGTATGATTTGGTGTGAGGCAGTTTCATGTGTTCATGCGTACAAGCCTGCTGGCAACCCTAACTGGAATTAAGAGTGGCTGAAACCAGAGAGGGGATGCCTGGAGGTTGATGTCAGTTGTTTTAACACAGATCTTTCATGGTTTCAAGCTACTCCCACTGTCTTGGATAAGACTATTGTATTTTGTATGTGGTGGAAGCTGCCCTGAGTCTGCTATGCAGGGAGGGCGGGATATAAATCTAGTAAATGAATAAATAAAATAAACTATCTGCAGTCCAAAAGCACACATTTTACTGTGAATTGATTTGGCTTAAATACTGGGGGAAAGGCAGTGAGCGTTTCTTACTAGGTCTCTCCATGAAGTTATGTACTCCCATACGTCAAAGTTCCTAGTGCCTTCAGATTTACAGAGGGCTATCAGATTAAAACAGACAACAAACCACTAGGTATTTTTTTAGTAGCTTCCATCCAGAACAGCAGCTTATTATGCAATTAAAAAAACCCAACATACCTGAGTCAAGGTATTTCTTTAAAGATTCATCAAGAGCAGGAACTGGAAGTGAAGGAAGAGTTCTCTGATACTGGAACGTACGCTCTTCAGAAGTATCAGTCACTTGGTTTTCCATATTCATAATCTACAGCAAAAAGGTAGGTTTCTATTTTAGGGTCTATAACTGTCTTTCCCACTCTACTATTCACAAATTTCCTTTGGCTCGAACAGACTCCACCCAAAAATTAATTACATAGGAGATCCAATAAAAGAACAAAAAAAAAAATCTCTGCTGCATAACAGTTAGGACTGAAGAATGTTTACAAAAAAGAGTGCTGACTGCTCACACTTCCCTAAGCCTTTTCACTGTGCTTCACTGTTCACAACTCAAGCGGTAACTCACACTAACGCAACACTCTCCATGGCTTTCGCAGAACCGCATTCCACAAAGCAATGTACAAGCTATCTGCGATAAAAATCTCATTCCCACAGCCTCTCCAGACAATCATTTCATTGTGCAGTTAAAACACAGTTTGTATCTCCAACCCTTTCTTCAATTGCAGACTTCTATAGGTTGCACGTTAACTGTGTTATGGCTTCCTGCAAAGAACCCTGGAAACAGGGAGTCCGGGAACAGGGTTCAGTTATGAAGTCTGTTTAAACTTGTGGCTTGGACATGCACAGCAGTGTAACACTTCTGCTGCGGGGTTACCACATCTTTATTCATGTTTAATTATATTTTTCACCCACGCTTTCCACAAGGAGCTCAGAGCCGCACACGTGGTCCTGTCCCGTGCCCCCCTCCCCCATCCTATCATCACGAAATCCTGTGAAGCGGGGTAGGCTGGAAAGAATGACAAACACGTGGTCACTCCTACTCATAGCCTGACTTTCTAGCCACTATACCACACTGACTAATATTCTGTCATGCAGTCAAACAACTTTAACATTTGGTCACTGAGAAAATACATTTCCCCCCCCCCCTCTAGCTAGCACGCCTGATGTGATTATGAAGCACAGAATGTGTTTGGCCAGTGACACGGGTACTTATTGGATAGCATCGCATTCCCTACCCCTACCCACAGTTCCATCTTCCCCTCCTTACCTGCTCCAGGTGATCACTCTCACCATGTTTTTTTACAAACACTATTTATTCTGCATTTTGTCCTACCATTTGGAGGTTTTTTAAAAAAAACTTCAACAACTAGTTTTTAACAAACCAGATTTTTTTCCAAACTTGGATATCCCCTGTGTTGCAAAAGTTGTGAGGGGGGAGGGGAATCAGCCCCTAAGCTATTAGCCATGAGGATAATTCTTTTTAAGAAACTGAGCATGACATCTCTATCACTTTGCCCCCACCTTGCGGTGTGTAACTACATTCTCGTGGAAATCTATGGATGATCTCAAAGCAACATCACAAGTCTCTTCCTTACCTATCCAAGTCAAATTTGCATGCCCCGCAAACAACCATTATTTTTTCTCCAGAGGCTGTGAGCTGTCCCAGAGTCTCCATCTCCCACAGCATTGAAAATACTGGTCAGTCCTTTCAAACCAAGCCCTGGAAGCTTCCATAATATCGGACAAGGATATACAGTGAAGGGTGCTACATTGGGGCTATCCTTCCCCTAATTTTGTGCCACTGAGGATAAGCAAACCCTCCCCAGAACATCATGGAGGTAAAGTGGGAGGGAAGACTTGCCAAACATCACCCCCCCCCCTTCTGGGGGCAGAAGTAACTTTTACAAGGTGAAAAGAGGATTAGGATGCTATCCATTGTCAGGATATCATGCTAAGGTCCAAGGTGCTATGCCTATTTATTTGAAATATTTACAGACATACCTTTCTCCCAGAAAACTGGGACCCAAGGCAGATAACAATAACAAAATCATAATAAAAACATCAAAATAACTGCCATTTAAATAGCCACAAACAACACATTTAGAATGCAATCCAAGCAGTTGCTCTTCAAAGACTGAGTGTTTACATACACTCAAGTAGAAGAGCCAAGAGCCCTTCTGCAAAGTTCAGTCCTCCCTGCTCTCCAAAAGTACAGAGGGGGTTTGAATTTTTGAATGACACCCTGACCTGGACAGCCCAGGCTAGCCTGATCTCGGAAGCTAAGCAGGGTCAGCTCCAGCAAGTACTGGGATGGGAGACCTCCTTGGAAAACCAGAGGCAGGAGTTGGGGGCAGGCTTTATTCAGCCACCTCTCTGTCCTCCAGGCCCCCAGTAGAGATTAGTCAGTCACCAGAGGCTGCCATGAGACTCACACGTATATGCATATATTAAAAAATTCAAAAAATGCAAAAAAGAGAATTTTAGAATTTTCTTGGAGACTCTCCTGTAGCCTTGGAACGGCTCCTGGTCATGGTATAGTGGTTACATGATCTGGGGGACTTATATCCAAACTCCCCATCTGCCATGAAACTCACTGGGTAACTTTGGGGCACTCTCAGCCTAACCTATTTCACAGGGTTGTTGTGAGGATAAATGGGAGGAGAGGACAACGTATGCTGCCCTTGGGCCCCTGGAGGAAGAGCAGGATAAAAAATGTACTAAATAAAGAAGTACAAACAAGACATCTTAAGCAATTCATTAATTACAATCATAATGTACACAGTAAGGGTTTGCAAAGTTTACGCTGGCCTTTGTCCATTTTAACACCATAGATATGTAAAAACTGGGGACTGATGGACAGATGTATCCTTAATTGTGAAATGCTGAGAGTAAGTAACTGAGACTCTGCCATCAATCTCAAATTTTGACGTATTTATTTCCTTCACTATGTCCCCTCCCAGAATTAAACCCAAACATACGGTAACCATATTACTATGCTTGTTATTCCGGTTTGGTCCTTGAATCTGGTAAACATCTTCATTATGCTGTATACTAATTTACTGCTCACCCTTTACCTATATGTATGGACTGGTAATTTCCATGTCATTGTTATCTGAAGAAGTGTGCATACACACAAAAGCTTATACCTTGAATAAAACTTTGTTGGTCTTAAAGGTGCCACTGGACTCAAACTTTGTTCTTCTGTTTCACAGTATACTTCTTCAGGGCTACTGGGAAACAAATAACTGGTTTTGTCCCTCATATCTTATTATGTATTACAGTTTCTTACGACTGAAATCATACGTGCCACTTAAAATTACTTCCAGCTCTTCTTTCACGGTTGATATGCATATGCACCCCTATACTGCTTACATAAGAGCATGGCCAATGTGCATAGAGGGGGCAGGGGAGAAAGCTGTGCCCCCAGTTCTCATACTTTCCTAATGACAGGTAAACCCACACGAGGCCAAGAGAGCAATCCTAAGCAGTTCTACTCAGAAGTAAAGTCCGTTTTACTTAATTAGCTGCACTGATTTTAGGGTTGCAGCCCAATTCATCTCATGTGGGCTCTGCAAAAGATGCAGATGCATGTGGCTAAGCTTGAATTACAACTGATTTCCCAACCTCACCCTCTCCAGGCTCCACCCCCAAATCTCCAGGAACTTGGGAGTTGGCTGCCCTAGTTTCAAAGCCACAGTGATCAATTCTACAAGCCCTCTTACCCACTTTAGCTATACAACGACATTTTTATTTATTTATTTTATTTATGATTTGTGTTTATACCCCGCCTTGCCTGACAAGCAGGCTTTAGACAAGCATTAGATATATAAGACCAGAAAGGAAGCTGTTAAATATGCAAACATTTTCTGACCCATGAATACACAGAAGAAGTTCTCAATAGCTGCAATCACACAGACTAAATAATCCATTTACAATCCACTTTCCAACTGGATTTTGCCCGTTCACACAGTAAAATCCACTTGGAAAGTGGACTGAAAGTGGATTATTCATCTTGTGTGATCGCAGCCAAGGTGTCTGTGCCTCGTTTCCAAACGGGCGGCTGAGTACAACAAGCATTCCCACCTTCCTGCAATCCACGCAACACGATTTTGATGGCAGCCCAGAAAGCTGCAGGGCAGCGGAAGGAACAACAACAACAACAACCACCTCCCTGTCTACGCAGTGACAGTCGTTTTCACAATCCGCATGCGCTCGGGGTCGTTCCGTCCTTCCAAGCGAGCGCGGGGGGGTTGTGAGAGTGCCTGAGCTGCGAATTCCGCCAGGGCGAAGACTTGTTGTCGCTGCTACTTTTTGAAAGCGGCATCGCTTTCCGAAGCGCCCTCGCCCTCGCCCTCACCGCGGGGACAGCTAAGGAGAGCCCCGCAATGGCCATCATTTAGCGCTGCGGACGGGGGAGAGGAGAAAAGGCGACCCCCCATCAAACCTCAAGCGACACTGGCAGAGCCCCCTTCGCAAGCAGGTGAGCGAAGTGAATCACAACAACAAACCGCTCCCCCCAGAGCCTCACGACGGCGACCCTGTCCGCTGCCCCGCAAGGCCCCCTGGGGCTTGGCTTCCCCTCCTACCTCTCACGGCTTGCTTACACGGCTGCAGGCGATCCGGTCTGCAGTCTCACAACAGCGGCCGGGAGCGGGGAGAGCCCGGCGGCGGCGCTGCGGTTTCCTCCCTGGCTCAGCTGCCTCCTCTCACCTTTGTCCCACATCCGCGCCCATAGAAGGTGGGGACAGCCGCCTACGCTCGCGCCTGGCCCCTCCGAGGCGGGGCGCGCGGCTGTGTGAGGAGCGGCTAGGCTAGGCCCGGCCTGAGCCTGACTGGTCCTGCCTGCGAGGGCGGGCTCTGCGCGCGGCCTGCCGACGGGAGCAGCGGCTCGGCTGGCCCCCTCGGCCGCCTGGTTCCCGCGGGTGCGGCCCCGGAGGCCGAGGCAGCGGCGTGGGGAGGCCGCTCTCCGTCCACGCCGGGCCGCGTCCTAGTTCCGCCGCCTCCACCCGCGCCGCCGAGGCCCCAGCTCGCCCTCTTGTTTACTGCTGGCAGCAGCCCCGCTGGGAGAAGAACGACCCAAGAGGGCGGTTATTGTTCGTCCTACCGAACAAACGACAGTCTCGCACTTTTTGGTTTTGTCAGCTGCCCGTTTCCTTCCCGGACTGCAATCATTTCTGCCCTTTCCGTGGGTGAGGCTGGTCCGCATCCCTGCCTTGGCATCTCTGCGCTGCTTCGTCGTACCGGGCATCGCGCTTTTTTAGACACCCGCCATCTCTGCCTTGTTCTCAAGCGCTTTTTGTTTACTTCTTCTTTCATATCCCACCTTCCTTCCCAACGGGGACCCCAAGGGGCTTACAGCACTCGGCGACCCTGTGAGGTCGGTGAGGCTGAGAGTGTGGCTGGCCCAAGGTCACTCAGCACAAGCCTCCATGGCAGAGGGGGGATTCGAGATCCCCCAGGTTTTCTCCCAGGGCAAAATAAAGACAGTGATTTACCAGGGAAGGGAACAAGGCGACATGGTCAATAGGGGCTGTTGGGACATTTAAAAAACAAGCTAGATCAGAAGAGTGGGTCTCTTTTAACTTTTATTTTTTAACTTTGGAAACTGTAGTGCCACCCTTATCTGGCTTTTATTGCATGGATAAGGTCGACATGAGTTGATTGCCACTAGAGGGCATGTTCTTCTACTTACTGTTGGCAGAGTAATTAACACAACAAGGTGCTCTGTCTAATTGAAGAGCAGATAAAACTTTATTTAGGAATTGACATCGTTGATAGGAAAGTGGAGAGACAGATAGGTTCATAACTACATCTCTAGCTGAGTGTGGCCCTTCCAAGAAGGGGGGGGGGGTTGCCCTAAGAGTAGCAATCTGGAGACAAACAAGGAATGACACTTAGCAGGAGAGACGGTGCTGACCTCACTGTCCTATCTAATTGTCTTCTTGCTGCCCCCTGCAGGGTCGTCTTCTCTTTTCCAACACTTCTACCACCTTGGAACTCTTTGCCTACCAACATCAGGGCCCTGCAGGACTTGTTACAATTCTGCAGGGCCCGCAAGGCAGAGATGTTCTGCCAAGCATATGGTTGAGGTCAGCGATGGTTTTTTAAATGGTTTCTTAGTGGGTTTAACAACTATCTGGCTTTTAACTGCTTTTCTCTTTCTCTCCCCCCCCCCAATGCTGATGTAAATTGGGGGGGGTTAAAATTTGTGTTATGGTGCCATACAGATGTTAGGTTTTTATGGATTACTGTTTAATGTATTTATATGTATTTTATATGAATTTGCTGTGCACCAACCTGAGCTTGCGCAGAGGGCGGTATAGAAGCCTAATGAAATAAATAGTGTGGTATCTGATCTCCTATATTGTTAATATGAGGACTACTACTTTTTCTCTCTGCTTTTGAACTTTTAAAGGACTTGAACATTCTAATCAACAGGTTGTTTGATATTTTCAGTAAGGGAGACATAGAATCAACTATGTTTTTAGTCAGAGTCTGTAATTGCTTTTTCTTCTTCCTAGAAATCCAGGGTTGTAACCTCATACCAGCTCCACCCAGCACTACTTCATGTACTTAGATCTACTGGCCATTCTACACAGGAGGCCTTAAGAAATATCTCTCCCCCTCCCACCCTTTGTTGCTTTTGAACATTCAGCCTGATGAAACGATCTAGAGAACTCGAAAGCTTGCACACTGTTTTGTGCTATTTTGGTTGGTTCTAATTAAATGTATTACATGTTTTTGGATTTTAATCTGGATTAAAAAGGCCATATGAAACCTCTGCCTAGAACTTTGAAGAATGCTTGTGTCAAATTAGAACACTTATTCATTTGTGATGTACCAATCAGTATTTGTTGGAATATGTTGTAAAATGTATCTGTTACCAGTACATAAAATATAATAAAATGGTCCAAAGAGAGAAAAAAAAATCTTTTAACATGTATGCTACATTCTTAATTTATTATTTGGACCAAATAAAGAACAAAGAATCTGTTACATTCTTAACTTATTATTTGATTAATCACAAGCAACATTATAATTTATGCAAGTATAGTAGTTTTTAAATACTTTATTCTTTGTCACACCATTTCTCTCATAACTCCCTTTGAAACTTTTCTTGCAGAAACCTTCACCCCACATAGTTTTTGGTGTTCAGTCTCCATGTAGATTTTCAGATCATAGGAATTAGCATCTTTCTGAAGCTGCAGGTATTAGAGAACTGTTATTATTGGCAGACTAATAGGGACCCAACCAAAAATAATCACCACATCTAAGCTCCATTTCTGCAATCTATCTATTAAAAGGAGTTCTTCACAGTAATAATTTCAGAAAAATTAGGCAGGAAACTTCATAGAATTTCACTTCCAGTGTTGCATCAGCAAGAACATCAGGAAGCCACAGCCTTCAGTTTGCTGTTAAGAGCAAGGCTGTTCTGTTAAGAGCAAGGCTGTTAATGACAGGACGTTTTGGAGGTCATTCATTCATAGGGTTGCCATAAGTCGGAAGTGACAGTGGCACTTAACACACAAAGACGACAATGCATATGTAACACAACTAAAGAGCACTGAATTAGGAATGAATATGTTATATGGCCCCTGAGCTGGATATCCCAGGCTGGCCTGGTCTCATCAGATCTTGCAGGGTCAGCCCTGGTTAGTATTTGGATGGGAGACTATCGAGGAGGACCAGGGGTCACTACATAGAGGCAGACAATGACAAAATCGCCTCTGAACATCTCTTGAAAACCCTGCGGGGTTGTCATGAGTTGGCTGCAACTTGGCAACTATATATACACCTCTGCAAATTACACCCCGTTTTGTGATTGTTTTGAGTGAGATTGTGAAATAGGGTTGAATATGTTCATATATTCAGGAAATAAGAAAACCTTATACTCACTCCAATCTTGTCTCAGTACGAAGTGGAATCTAACAGCTTCCTGCTCACTGTAAAATGGCTTAATGACGTCACATAGTCGAATTTGATTTGCTGATAATGGGACATTATTACACTGCCTACATGATCTCTGTTTGTGTGGGATCTTCTCCAGAATAAGACCCTCTTAAAAACAAAATTGCACCAAAGATGCAGACCAGAGGACGAAGCAGCAGTGAGCAAGAATAGAATAAAGCAGCAAAATATTTTCATTACATTTTTGCCCCCTCAAAAGCCTTCCT